ACTTCAACTCCCAGAATTCCCCAGCCAGCAAAGAATTCTGGGAGTTGAAGTCCACACATCTTAAAGTGGCTACAGTTGAGAAACACTGGTCTAGTGGTGAAGGCCCCAGGCTAGAAAGCAGGAGACGGTGACTTCTAGTCCCACCTTAGGCATGAAAGCCAACTGGGTGACTTTGGGCCAGTCCCTCTCTCAGCCCAGCCCACCTCACAGACTTGTTGTTGTGGTGAAAATAGGAGGAGGAAGGAGTATTAGGTCTTTTCGCTGCCTTGAGTTATTTATAAAAATAAGAAAGGCGGGATAAAAAAAAAATCTAAAAAAAAAGAAGAAACATCCTCTCGTTGCTCTGCCCCAAGGCCACTGCAGGCTGTTTTTAGTGATTTTGAATTCCAGCATCGCCCTCTCTAGAAGGAGACGAGATCTCTTGATTCCTTTTCTCGACTGCCCTAAACATGCAGGCGAATAACCCAGCTGTTCCCTTGCACAGAAAGGTCTTACAACATGACCTGTCTCTACTTCGCCAAGTTTTTTAAGCAAGTTTTCCCTGCTTTCTGCAATCCCTCTCCCAGGAAAAAAAAAAAAAACTGAAGGGAACAGCTTAGCAATCATCCTTTCTCATGAGCCCCACGTGGTTAACCTTAGGGCTTGGTTACTCAGGAGCTGAAACCCAGCCCTTTTACTTCCAGCTTACTTTCACCATCCTCCGTGGTGAAGGACTGGCGTTCTTGGATATAGAACTGCAGATCAGAAAGCTCTGGCAATTCCAAAAAATCATCCTTTGCAAGCAACATTATATTATTCCCCTGATTAAGAGGTAACCCTTCAAAACATGTTGCTGCCTAGTAAAAGTTTCCCTTGTGCCATTTTTCCTCCTGGCTCTGCCAGGGCACCAAGCCACAGCTCCTGCTGGTAACCAGTTGAGACCCCACTCCATCCGCTGTGCTCCAGATGGAAACCATCACGACATGCATTAATTTCCACTATCAGCTCTTCTTTGCAAGCCCTACTCTGTCATTTGAGGGTGTTAAACTAGTTAGTTTCAATTTACAGCTGAAGTAGCAAATCACATTAAGCCACATTTTTCAGTGACGATGGGCTCATGCATTGCCCTAAGGCATTCAGTGGTTTGTCTGTTTTTAGTTAACTACCATGTGTAGGCCCAAACATTTGTTTTTTCCCCTCTCCTCTTTGGCAAAAGTGGAGTTGTGTGCACGTAAAGAAAAAAACACGGGCCCCGCAAGCCAACATCGCTTGAACATTCTAAGGGAAACTTTCTTCAACATCTCTCTCTCTCCAGACATCAGCACGAGGCCTTTTTCTGGCATATACAACGTACCTCTTTCTACACCCACATTTGATCCACCCAACCCTTCCTCTGTTTGGCATGTGGGAAAGGAATTTGCATCAAAATTTATGTCAGTGCAATATAGGCTAAAGTATTTGGCACGCGAGGTAGAGGCTGCATCTAAAAAACAAAACAGATTACTAACAGGATCCGATCAAAGTTCCAGCCACTTGCACGTCGCACAAAAACTAAGATTACTGTGAAAAAGTTGCAGCAGCCATTCCTAACTTGCTGCCTTTCAGATACTTTGGACAAACCCCATAACCCCATGCTGTGGTGTCTGGGAGTCGTCCAACCCCGTTGTAGGATCTCTCTCCAGTAAGGAAATTCTCGGACTCTTCAAAAGGCCACCAATATTGCTGTTTGCTCATTACAGAAAACTGAGCTTGACCCCCAGGTCCGTGAGGTGCACCCTCTACTTCACTCCCTGTTTTGCCAATGGGAGTGCCAGTCAGAGGGGCTGAGTGGAAAGAGGCGAGGATTGCACCGAACAAACAAGGTTTGATTTCTCACAGGCGAAGGAACACTGCCTTCGGAAGGGCCACACTTAACTCTTGAATGAGAGCATTTCCTGGAGATGCACAGAATGTTGACCCAATATCTACCCAAACAATGGGGTTTGCACGACACACCAAGGGTGACACTAATCAGACTGAGAACATTGTGCACACTAGGTCTGCAACCTGGTTAAAGAGGCTGCGTGAACACTACCAGACACTCTTAGTCTTGATTTAGTAGATGCAGGCCTGGGGAAGATGTATTGTTCTCTGTCTAGGGCAGTGTTTCTCAACCTTGGCAACTTTAAGCTGTGTGGACTTTAACACCCCCAACACCCCCCCCCACCCCCCGATGCGGGTGAGGGGTGTGTGGGGTTATAGGCTCAGCACTCATAAATACACTGGCTGGGGTAAGAT